GGGAACTAGTAACGAGAAAGTTTGTGTTGCCACAAATTTTTTGTAATTTAATCCGCTTTGCGACAAAATTGCTCGTTATGTTTCTACCTTGTGCGCATGATATTTTAAAAATGACTAATGCTGCGTACTTGAAATTGGATGGAATTCTTTATATCGGCACTATTTTCTAACGGAACAAAAATCGGATGAATATTTTAATATTAAAAACTTTTATGCACGAAAACATTACAGATTTTTTTAATAAAATACATCTTATAAACTGAACTCCAAATAAAATAAAAATTTAACATGAAATTCTTATAATTTTTGTTTCACAGTAGTTTCTAAATGTTCTAAAAGCTATATATTAAATATGGAATTAAATGATGCAACAGAATAAAACTGCGCGCGCAAGGTGGAAACACGACGAAAACTTTTGTCACAAACCGGATTAAATTATAAAATATTTGTACAACACAAACTTTCTGATTAATAGTTCAGAAAGCAGCTATATTATGTAGTCAGCTGTAAAAAGTTGGAAGTAATTGCTTTTAAAATAAATAAATTATCCCAATTCTTGCAACAGTCACATATTCGAAGATCTTATGGGTTCTAAGGTGTATGAGTCCCCTTAATACCATGCCTTTTACAACGCTTTTGAATTATGGACTAGGAATATTTATGTTCGGAAAGCGCTAAAACATATTTTTGAATTAAAGCTTGTTTATATGCGATATTTTAAATAAAGAATTAATTTAAAAGTAACAGAAGATGTTTCTAATTTTAAATAATTAGCTATTGCAAAGCATTTTATTCCAAAAACATTTGATTTTTTAAATATGTAATATTTTAGATAATTTAGAAGGCCTTGAAAGCTAGAATGCTTATGAACTGTGTGCCGAAGTGCACGTACTTAAAAATCCAAACAAGGGTTAAAGTAGATTCCCCCTCAAAAACATTTACAGATAGCTTCTTTTCGCGCTAACACTAAGCTTTCACTTGGGCTTTAACTTAAGATAGAAAATAAGAAACTCATCTAATGCTAACTAAGCTAAAAGCAGCCGAAGATGCACAGAAATGGAGATAGAAATGTTTTATTCCCTACAGTCTTGCCATTGCTAGCTTTGAAATTGTTGAGTTTTTTAAATCAAAAGTTCGTTAAAGATTTACAAAATATGAAATAGACAATTAAACAAATTCTACTTTCGGTTTTCCAGGTGCCCGCCCGTGTTCGAGTGGAGGACTACGCTATTCAAAATTTGATGACTCTAGGTACCGTCGTTTCTTCACACTGCGAGAAACGTGCATGCATTCATGCAGATTCTTCATTATTTAGTTCCTTTAAATATAATACAGGACGATAACACTTGGTGGCAACAATTTGAAAAGCGATACATCGCATTTAAGGGATTCATCGCAAAATGTCGTTTCGAGACTAACAGCCCTTCTGGGCTAACACGCCATTGGTCTATAAATATCGAATGCTTTGTAGATTTTCTTCTTCGGTTTCTTTCATTAAGCTATGGTCATCTTACCAGTTGAGTTTTCTTTCGTCTTGTTCATTGTAAAGAAAACTTCTCTTTGAATAGCATTGAACATGTATTTCTTTTTAACTTTTTTTGATCCCTTCATTTCGCAGAGATATAAAAAAGGGCCACATATCTACGTTTTCCTGAGGGTTTAGAGATGACAGAATATACTTCGAAACATCTCGGGACTTTAATTGAAGGTTTCTATGAAAAGACGATGGAATTACGAAATATGTTACGGGAAGACAATCATCCAGCTCTTTCATTTAAGGCTTAATCTCTCAAATGGTAGTACAAATGGCGCAAGTTTGTTCCGAAATAAATGGTTTATACACACATTTTTTATCTTTTTGTCAATGTAATGTCTTCTCCCAGAACTGAAGCGCAGTTCTTTACTTTAATTACTTTTGATCGCGGTTGACTGGACTTCTGTCCTACATCAAACGCAATAAAAGTTTTTGGCGGGGAAAAAAGTTATTCGTTGCTAAATGGGTTTCTGAATAGTAATGTCGGAAATTGAATGGCCGTTTTTTTTTCGACCGTTAAAATGTCCATCTTTATTAATTTAATGAAATGCGGACTGTTTGCAGCTGGCTGGAACTGGTTCTCTGCAGCCTTGTTATTAAAATTATGTCGTAACTGACAATTAATCTGAAAAAAATCAATGTTCTTAAATCGTTAATCTTTAAATCTGTGGTTTAGGTATCCATTAAAAAAATACGGTTTAGGATTCTTGTTACTACAAGCACATTTTGTCGATTGCCATTATTTAGAGTAAAATATGAGTTTTGTTAATTTAATCAAACGCCAGTTGAGTTAAAATAACTCGTTAACGATTATTGGTAACGATTATTAGACATGCTAAGGCAACAGGAACCAGTATAATATTCATAAATTTACAGAGCAAAATCTCCTGTTTGAATGAACTGATTATAAGTTAAAATTTTGTTAAAATTCTAAAAAGTGTGCAAATGTTTATGAATTGGTTTTCTTAGCAAATAAGAATGAAAATACTGCATATACATACATGAAGCTCACGTAATAGATATAACAATGCTGTCACTGAAAAATTCCGAACTATTTTTAAGAATTATAAAAGGCTTCTTTTGCTGACCTAATATATTATATACTGTTGTATTTTAGAAGATAAATGAAAAATCTTATGACATATAATTTCGCAACTGCTTCCTGTTTTATCCGGACATTTAAGGAACAAAAGCTTTCGGTGATGAGTAGTAGTAGTATAATATATGATATAGAGAAGAAGTTTGCAACCATTTTTTCATTAATTTCGTGTATTTTTATTTAATTGAGATATAAATGACTCATCTCTGGAGTTAAAAAATTTTAAGCATAAAAATTAAATAATAACTGCAATTTAATAGATAAAAATATTCGACTATTTTTATTAATGTCAGTTTTAGTTTGATGTAAATTAAATAATAACGGTGGAAAATAATCGCCTAATCTTCTATAAAGGTACTTTTAGTTTGATGTAAATTAAATAATAACGGTGGAAAATAATCGCCTAATCTTCTATAAAGGTACTTTTAGTTTGATGTAAATTAAATAATAGCGGGGGGAAAATAATCGTCTAATCTTCTATAAATGCCATAAAAATATTGGACTATTTTTATTACAGTCAGTTTTAGTTTGATGGAAATTAAATAATAACGGTGAAAATAATCGCCTAATCTTCTATAAAGGTCACTTTTAGTTTGATGTAAATTAAATAATAACGGTGAAAAATAATCGCCTAATCTTCTATAAAGGTCACTTTTAGTTTGCTGTAAATTAAATAATAAAGGGAAAAAATAATCTCCTAATCTTCTATAAAGGTACTTTTAGTTTGATGTTAAATTAAAAATAACGGTGGAAAAATAATCGCCTAATCTTCTATAAAGGTACTTTTAGTTTGATGTAAATTAAATAATAACGGTGGAAAATAAAATCCTCTCCTCCTCTTCTATAAATGTCATTTGTTATTATACGAGGGCTATCCAGAAAGTAGATTACGTTTTGGAATAAAAAAATAAACAAAGTATAGGAAACAAATTTTATTATATACAGATGAAAGCCACACTCAAATACTACTTTTCTACATAGTCACCATACAAATTAAGGCATTTATCGTAGCGATGTACGAGCTTGGAAATTCCTTCGTCGAAAAATTCGGCCGCCTGCGCCTTCAACCACTTCGTTACCTCTTCTTGCCTTCCATCTTGCACAAAACTTGTGGTAACCAAGCTTTTCGCTGATGATTTCGTGCAACAAACTTCGCGAAATTTGTGGAAAACTCAAAGAAAGTTCCGTTATTGTGAAATTTCGATTTTCACGGACTTTAGCATCGACTTTTTCGAGAAGTTCGGCGGTCACTATGCTGGGTCTCCCACTTCGATCTTCGTCGTGAACATTGGTTCGGCCATTTTGAAATCTTATGACCCACTGACGCACTCCACCTTCAGTGATAATGTTGTCCCCATACACTTCACGAAGCTGCCGATAGATTTCTATCGGTTTACAGTTTTTTGCAGTCAGAAACCTTATTACTGAGCGCACCTCGCAGCTCGCGGGATTTTCAATTAACGCAGACATTTCAAACCGTCACAGTATCTGAACGGAGCACAGCACGAACCTCTCACTAGCACGGCTAGATGCAGACTGAGCTGCGCAACGCTCTGACCCCAAGATGGCCGCGCTAGCCCCGCCCCTAGCGGACACAGACGGAAACGTAATCTACTTCCTGGATGGCCCTCCCTAGGGACACGGACGGAACGTTATCTACTCTGGATAAAGGGAAAAAAAATAATCTCCTAATCTTCTATAAATGTCAGTTTTAGTTTGATGTAAATATAATAGTGTGGAAATATAGTTTGATGTATATATAATAGCGGGGGAAAAATAATCGTCTAATCTTCTATAAATGCCAGTTTTAGTTTAATGTAAATTAAATAATAACGGGGAAAAATAATCGCCCAATCTTCTATAAATGTCAGTTTTAGTTTGATGTAAATTAAATAATAACGGGGAAAAATAATCGCCCATTCTTCTATAAATGTCAGTTTTAGTTTGATGTAAATTAAATAATAACGGAAAAAAATAATCGCCTAATCTTCTATAAATGTCAGTTTTAGTTTGATGTAAATTAAGTAATAGCGAGAAAAAAATAATTGTCTAATCTTCTATAAATTCCAGTTTTAGTTTGATGTAAATTAAATAATGACGGGAAAAAATAATCGCCCAATCTTCTATAAAGGTCACTTTTAGTTTGATGTAAATTAAATAATAAAGGCAAAAAAATAATCGCCTAATCTTCTATAAATGTCAGTTTTAGTTTGATGTAACGCCATGGAATTTTCGTTTTGTGAAAAGCATATGTAAAGTTAATTTATTTCACAAACATAATTTGATTCCTTTCTTATACTAGCTTTTAGTAATTAGAAATGCGTATTTATAAATGTATTAAATAATGCTGGAATCTTTGTTTTCTAGTCATGTGAACAAGACTACCACAAATGAGGATCCGAGAAAGGATTCCGACGAGGAGCCTCCGCAACCACGTGACGTGGAGCTCATTAGGGACCCCCAGAAAGGGTTTGGGTTCGTTGCCGGAAGTGAGAAGCCAGTCATCGTAAGGTTCGTTACTGAAGGTATGTTAATCAAGTTCCTTTTAATGAGGTGTTTTTCTGGTATTTTATCTATAAGCAACACTGCCCCAAGGGGGTGCTCTGCTAACAAGCCCTAAAGTGCTGCTAAGTATGGTTATTAATCAAAATGGAAAGCACCAAATTCAGTATCGAAGAAACTCTATGCTGAGTATGTTGATTATCAGATAAATTATTTGGCAGAACATTTTAGTACCTTTTAAGATCTGCCCTTCTTAAGTAGCATACCACTAGACCAGAACTCTAAAAGACAACTTATGAGTTATAACGGTGTCTTATATATACCACAGAGCCACGGAAAGAGTGTAAAGAGCCCTTTTTATTAATCCAAATAAAGTTTAACGGCACTGACTCATGCTTACAGAAGCCAGTAGCTTTGGCTTTAAATCAAAAACAATAGCTGAGCTAAAATTAATGAAATTTATAGTGTAACTTAACGGCTTCACAGTTTAACTAGCGCTCAAACTGGCTTTGGCCAAAGTCGGCGTAAACAAACTTAAAGGCAAGAATAACTCAACGCCGCAGAATACTGATTGCAAGAGAATTAAAGTTAGCAGCGTGGCCTTCAAACAGTCAGAACACGCTCTGACTTCACCCTGAAAAACCTTACTTTAAACACTTCCTTCTACCTAATTTGAATATCTCGCGAGCTAGAAATTTACATTCTAGCAGGGAAATGAAAACGAGGCTTGACAGAAAAGTGAACTACAAAACAATTAATTAGAAACTTAAATATTACTCTATAACCATTCTGAGATGATGTTACTGAAGGAAAAGTGTGTTTTTTTATGTTACCATTTTCATTATCAGAAACAGGATTCTTAATTTGCTTTGTCAAGGAAGTTAACAATATATGGAATAGTAACGGTAATTCTACATTTTCATTATATTCTAACAAATATGTATTCTCCTGCTCTATCATGTTTATTTTTTCGGGAGCAAGCCTATATACACTTCAGTGATATTATTTAATTCGTTTTCAAAAATACAGAAGTATCTTTACAGCTATTGACAAAAAAAGTCTGATTTGGACACCACATGACTTCCTTTTACGGCCTATTAAATTATGCACATTTATTGCTGCTCTTCATTTAAACTTATTTCCTGGAAATTCGTTAGATATATTTCTCATGCAGTGAATTCAGATCTCATTTCGCGGTAAGGCAAAAATGCATAAAACCTCTAAACATCATCATCATTAAAAGTTGTAAAATATAGAAAAACATAAAACACTAAATGCAGTTAAAAACAGTTTAAATCTTTTTAAAAATTTTAATTTAGTTTCTACGTAAAACATGCAATTTGGTCAGCGGGCAGGAAGACACATTGTTTGGTTGTAAGTTTACTTTTAGTCCCACTGGGCAAAAAGACACTAAAGTTGGTTCAGAAACTGAATTCACTATTCTACCAAAAGTTTCGAATGTAAGCAAATGGCGGCCTCGTTAGGCTTAGCACTATTTAAACTTTTAAATTGTTGATATTCTACAACTGTTGCGTGCAGATTAACTAAAGGCATGAAAACCCTAACCGGAACATAAGAACATCATAATTCAATGACTTTTAGAGCCAAAATATACACAATTTATTGACGTATAAGAATAAAACCTGACCTCACCGAGCCGGGTAACAAAGTGGCTATATTATATTTTTATATATATTTGTATACGTTTGGTTTGGCCGATTGCAAAAAAAAAAAAAAAAAAAAAAAAAAAAAGAGAAGTGCTCAACTATATGTTATAGCAGTCCCATGTACAAAATTCCACCGCTCTAAGGCTACGTCGCGAAAAACAAAATCTCTTCTGAATCCATTTAAAATTTATTTTAGTATCCGTTTTGGAAAAAAAAAGTGACCGTCACACAAAAACATCGTTCAAATGAATCCAAGAACGGTCAAAATGGATATTTTTGTTGAAGTATGATACCCGATATTTTTCCCGATTGCACTACTTCCTTTACTTCTCACAAGAAAGTAAAAATGAAAAACAAATGCTGTTTCCAGTTCTAGAATTTCTAACTCTTCGCAAAAATCTAATCGGCCATTCCAGATTTATAAACAATCCGTTTTCTAAATTTGTATACATTCTCTTTCCCTTCGTGAACGAAAGGCATTTTTGCTTCAACTTCTGAACACCCAGCTAGGATAAAAATCTCCTTTATAAAAAGGGGCCGAAAACCTTCTTTATCAAACCCTTAAACCCCCTTCCAGTGTCAAAATATGCGTGCGCAATAAAATTGCGTAAAAAACGTTCGTGGGTAACGGGGTAGGAAGAAGAAGCCAGCAGGGAATGCCTAGCGCCTCATTATACGTCGCATACTTCTATGGCTTTTTCATCGTCGATTTTGCTGTCGCCTTTTTTGTTGAGGTGCTGTTGTCAGAAGGATCTTCGAATGGTATTTGTTTCGGGGCTCCCTGCGCAACTTGCTTGCCAAATCGACTTTGGCTTAGGAGAGGAGCAAAGAAATTAGGGACCGTCTCCATATTAGATATCTCATAGTTTATGTTTAGTTTGTTGCATTTTTGGTGTCATGGGAGAAAAAGAAACAAGAAAATTCGAATCTTAAATAATCTACTAAGTGAAGAAATTATTCTTATATTTTTACAAATTACATACAGGTGGAATCTGAATAAGATGGTAAAACTTTAGGGGGTGATAGAAGGTAGGTATGCGAGCAGTATTCGTCGTAGAATGTATGGTCGGAACGCAAGCGGTGAGAAGTTAAAGGGTAGTTTTCCATTTTCACGTTTTTAAGGAATTAACGCAAGAATGAGAGGCGATACTTCAGAAAACATTTTATTAACAGAACACGCTTATAGAAACTGCTCAATAGACCTTCCGCTAGCTGTAATACAGGCTTCACACCTGCAGGATAGGGGGGGATAGATTCACATTTGTAAAGATTTCAGACATTTCCCGAATATCGCCGGCAACAACGACGATCCTGGTGAGTAGCTCCGTATTGGTTTCAATGGGGAACTCGAAGATTAGGCTTTTCATATGGCCCCACAGGAAAAGATCCAAACAGGAGAAATCCGGTGATCTTAGTGACTAAGCTCTGGGACCACTTCGACCAATCCATAGCCCTGGAAATTTTGTGCTTCGTATAACCTGCAATCCTCTCGCCAAACCACGGTAGGACGCGAGGACCGACCCTTTTTTATACCAATTATTTACAATGGTACCTAGCGGCTCGCCCTTTGCATGCCAACCATACATTCGATGACGAATATTGCTCCTATAGCTGCCTTCTGTCGCCCCGTAAAGTGTTGCCGTCTTGTTCAGCTTCACTCTTTCTTAACCTTAGTCCTTACATTGCATCTTGTATATCTGCAAGTTTTCTTGTGCGTACTAATATTATCATTGCTTCATGAACTACTGTCATCACATTGCTTCACGTATATATGCGTGCCCTATTGAGGGTCCTCTCAGTATTACGCGCGCTGTTTAAATAATTACGTGCTATTATGTGTCTCATAACATCATCAAGTGTTTCGTTTTTATGTGTCCGCATTATATAATTGTCTGCATCGTGTTTATCTATGTGTGTTCGGTGTTTATTTAGTTACGTGTATTTTAGTGTATCTTAATGTACTTTTTTGTGTTTTTAGTGCTTTATGTGTTTCTTTATGTTTCTTTTTATACGTTTCCATTTATGTTTTATGTTTATGTCTTATTTTGTTCTACCTCTGTAACCATAACCTTCAGTTGTCTCACGTTCTTACAATGTACTACATGTAGTCTAGCCCTTAACTTTTGTCCTTTTTAAGATCCTAATAAACTCCCGGGGCGGCCTCATGGGGCTCCAGGGAGTTGTTGCCTCTAGATAGTGGAGGACGCGGGGCATATGCCTGTTTACCTATGTTAGACACCAGGCGCCTCGCTCTCGTCCTCCGTCATCCGTCACCTGTCTTTCTTAATGCGTAGGTGTAGTGTTTATAAAATGCACAAAAAGAAATGCCGTCTATTGGTTGCAGTGTAGAACATCGCGGCAAAAATACTAAGGACGAAAATGTTGTAGAAAAATAACGCAAGTGTGAAACATCGTACAGAACATCGGGGAGAAAAGAAAACAAGGAAAAAAACATCGTCGTAGAAAATAAAGCGGTTCGGAAACTTCGCAGTTTTGAAACACTGTTGCAGAAAATATCGTGGTAAAAAATAAATAAGTTAGAATTTATCGCATGATTGTTACATCGCGGGTATGTATTTTCAGAACTTAAAAGTTTCAAATACGTTTCGCATAATTATTTAGCTGCAAAGAAGGAATGTGGAATATTGTTAGCTTTCTGTGTCATATCTTTGAATTAACTAATAAATTTTTACTATAAAAGCGTGAAAGAAACTTAAGCAATCAAAATCCGAAAATATATAGAAATTAATGATACGCATAATGGTTGATAGAATTTTAAACTTATATAGTTAATTAGTCAAAGTCATTACCTAATTATTCTCTTTTATTATTAGCCCAGAAGGGATATTAATTTCGTTTTGGCATTTTGCGTTGAAAACTTGAAATGTCGGTTCACTTTTCAAATTGTTGCCACGAAATGTTAGACCCCTGTGTTATATTTAAACAAATTAAATAATGAAGAATTGTACAGACATTGTGCGGAAAAAAACGTTTTTATCTCCAGCGCGCGAGACTGTGTATCGGAAGTTCAAAATATGCTCAATTTATAATTATTTTGCGATATTGCTGTTGAACTGAATTTTTTATGATTTAAATTATATTTAATAAATAAAGATAACACGCAAAACGTCAAAAAAAATCGCCCCTTTGCTGAAATCTGAAAGCTTTCAGATTTTCTTTTTTGTTTTAATTGTTATAAAATTATTAGTTATCGACTGAAATTTTCTTTCATTTTGTTCTTTTACTTGTTACACAATCGGTCAGTTCCAGCTTCTGTCTCCTGCGTCGTCCGTTGTAGATTTATGGAAATCGCTTTGTATTTTCTAATAACTTATTGAGACTTGTTTACTCGTATA